GAAGTTCAATCATTAATTGGATTGATTGTTAAAGTAAAGACAGGGAGACGGTTAAAAATGATGTTTGTTCTGTTGCCCAGAGAAAGCAAGCCGGGCAAAAGATGTGTCCTTAGTTGAGCAATTTTTTATGAAACATCGTCAAGTAACAATTAGAAAAATGGTTGTATATCTTAACAATAACATAATTATTAAATCTCTAAAATATCGTTTACTTTAGACTTTAAACATATGAGATATGATAAAAAGAAGGCGCCCATACTTTATCCACATTGGAAAAACGACTCTCCCGAGACAGAGGACTCGGGTTGTGATGGGTCACCATACTAATTGTGGGAAGGGATATCCTTATCCACCCATCCTATTGCCGAGATTTGGCCATTTCTGACAGATGGACTGTTTTTGTTATAAAAAATAACTTGCATGGTAAGAAATATAAGACTCGGAAAGATCGTTTTGCTTCGCTGAACAGACTGCTTCGGAGCATGTCACGTGACTGCCTGGATCACGTGATTCGCGCATGGGCAGAACAATAGCAGATGTGCATTAAAATCGGAGAGGACTACATTAAAAAATAATAAACACTGAATCTTCATTCTATTTCTTTTAAAGAAGTTATTCAATTAGTTCGCGAAATTTTTGATCACCCCTCGTATTTCTGCACTGTTTGCTCAAAAGAGTTTCCTCGCCACCCCAGAAAGATTGCTATAAAGTTAGCTCCCCCCCCCCCTGCGAAATTGATATAATAAGAATTTCCCCTGGAAAACATTCACAACGTAAAGGTATATTCCAAGTTTTAACTCCATATTAACTACAGGAAGAACCTACCATATTAACTACAGGAATAACGTACAACACAGTGGATTTATACTTTCAGGTACATATAAGTTAATGATAGACCTTTTTTGCTTTATTATGCAGTATAATCATCTGTTAATGGAGAGAGAGATGTAAAATTATTCTAATAAATACAATTCCTGTGGAAAAGGGTTTTAGGGAAGGGGGTTATATTTATAATTTAACGGAAGTCCTTATAGGGTTCAAGCCTAGTATTCCGAAGGCCCGATAGTACGGCGGCCCGATAATCCGACGGTTCGGTAGTCCAACATATTTACCATCACCGAAAATTTTTAAAGCGTTAAAATTTATTCCTGTCAAGACATTATATATATATCAAGGAAATTACAAGAAACCGCCAAAATCATGAAAATTGTGACTCACAGCCTGATAATAAATAAGGCAATCAATTTCTGACAAAATCATTTAAGCGTGAACTGTAAAGCAGAGAAACACGGTATTTATGAAAATTTATCTTGCCAGTTGATGATGTACCGACAAAATATGTCGTAAATGAACCTTACCATTGCAAAAAAGCTGCTTCAATTGAAACCTAAGCCAATTTTTTTTTTTTTTTTTTTTTTTTTTTTTTTTTTTTTTTTTTTTTTTTTGCACAGGTGGACGAATATTACCAAGCTTTAAACCAGATTGCTTTGAAATCCAGCGAAAATACATGACAGATTTTTAAAAGAATAGCGTTTCAGTGTCATGCTTAAGTCTCTCAGTGTCTTACTCCCTGACATAAAATTCTTACCTCATTTGGAGACCTTTGAGTTTCTGACTAGAATAATATGAATTCTGTAGTCTATTAAATTATTTAAATAAAGAGGCAAAAAGATATTTTGGTCGATGATGAAAGACTGTTACACGTGTTGTAAATTTTAATCTGTATTTAATAATCAAAACAAAATGAATGTTACAATGAGCTGTCGCCAACAGAAAGAGAAATAGAAATAATTTCACATTAATTGTATGATTTGCCTATAAATAACATTCATTTTTCATGTTATACATTCATTCATGCATTCATTATATTTGCAATAACTCTCAGTTTCTTGGGAAAAAGAAAAGAAAAAAAGTTTTTTGAAAAAACAAACAAACAGAGCAAACAAGGCAAAATCAGAGTCTAGGTCGTTGTCTAGGTGAGTCAAGATCCTTCCCGCCTCCCCATGTTTAAGAAGTGACCTATTACATGTAGTAGAAGAAGCTGTTACGATAAGACGTGAAGTATACCCCAATTTAAGATCCTTTTTATTCCAATTAAAGTGTATTATGCTGGTAGATATCCGTCTAAAAAATTGTATGAAACTCAAAATATCACTATAGTAACAGAATGAGATTGTAAGTTAAGTTCCATATGCCATTAAATGGCGTCCGTGACGTAGAAAACGTATCAAAGTTAGTATAGAAAATACAGCCGAGAAACAACATGTTGATGTCATTCCTAGTAAATTTATATTGTTTATAGCATGAATATTAAGATAATATCAGTTAATCCTGTAAATATTTATATGTTTGTAAACCTTTTTTGGATTTTTTTTTTTCGATTTTCGACTAGAGGACATCATTCTATCCAGTATTAAAAGACATTTAAGTCTCAACTAATCAGAATGCATCCTAATCAAAAACAATTCTCCATTTTTAGATTTTTTTAGTTAAAATGAGAATTATAACCAATGTTCCCCTTATTATGCAATTTTTTTCCGATATATTTATCAGATATCAGAGACTAACAAATTGATTAAGAATGTAACTTTTTACAAATATTGCTGTCTTTGAGGTCAATACAACTAAGCCATGAGTATAATATTTACCGAGCTCGAAGTACGGTGACTCAATCATGGTATTGACTGAAAACCAACAACTGTTTTTTAAAATTATGATTCAATGTCTGTGGGTTTTGGTGGGGCAAGGGTTGAATAACGGTAAAAGAAGCACTTAATTCGAAAGTTGATCCAGTGAAAATTAAGAGATAAATACGCAGGGTTTTTTTAACATGAAATACGTTCTTCTTTCTTGTTCAATTTTATTTTCATATCCCAGCTCCGAAGGAGAGGAGGTTAAACTGTTTTACCCTTGCGTGTGTGTCTGTCTGTCTAGCGGTGTGTCTGTCCAAAACAAATTTTCGTCGCAGTTTTCTCAGTAACTACTCATCTTAGATGAGTGAAAATTTAGCACACTCTTTGTTTAAACAGCCTTCCTGTTTATCCGTGTGTCTGTCCGTACCAAACTTCCGTCACAGTTTTCTTAGCAACTACTCATCGCAGATGCTTGAAATTTTAGCACACTCTTTTTTTGAGGCAAGTCATATGGTGGGATTTATTTTTGTATGAATTCGATCTCATTATGAGAGGGTATATTCACACCAGAGTGGGGGTATTACAAGTGAGCATTTGCTCACTGGCTTCTTGTTTTAAACTACGAATAAAACATACTCAGATGACGAACATAAATCAGCAAACACATCAAATTGTTCTCGGACTTGAAAAGTTGCTCTAATTTTTTTTTTTTGAAATACCAGTACATTTTCAGTTGACCTTAATTGCTCTCCCCTCCTCCATCGTTTTTTAAGCAAATACTCAGGTGATAAGTGCAAGCAAACAAAACAAATGAGCATTTAAAATGGCAATTAATCATTATACCATACTCAAAAAACAATCTTTTTTATAGTCTAACATAAAAGAAAAAAAGAGGACAAGCTGTTGTCAGTGTTTCCAGGGGCTAATGTGGGGACAAGTTAAATTAATCACAAGAAATAATGGAGGTTATTACATGTATAAAGTGAAAGTTTTTGTTCCTTATTTCAAAGATTTACAGCTTAACTCGACAAACACTTTTTTCATTATCAGGGAAGAATGAAATGGACTTTTTCATCGAAAAGAAAAAAAAATATGCTTACAACAAAATTATCTCATATATTTGTCTGAACAGCAATACAATATCAAGTCTTTGCCTATAGGTAATAAGTTAAAATGCTGTGGAACCTAAATTAAAAACAGAAAAAAATCTTGAAAATTACAAACATGACTTTTCGGTGAATATTATACAAAAAACAAATAATGGGAATTTTTTACTTATCGTGAACAGATCCGTGATTTCTTTAGAGGGAGTCAAAACAAATTGAACGAGGCCAACTTAATTTATATAAACAATTTTAGTTTTCAGGAGGAGGAGGGGGAGGGATTTCCAACACTAATCTTTATCTTTACTTCATAAACATTACTTTTCTGCTCGAATAAATGGTCACTTTTAAGGAACTCATTATATTCCTTCCTAAACCCAAAACCCACCCCACTAGATCCGCCAATGGGCGTTCATAGGTTTGACAAAGACTACAGTTCATAGCACTTATAACTGAATGAATAATCTTATACAGTTAAGAATTACAAGAATACACTTAAAACTAAGATAACGTTCAACAGAGACAGTCTAGGGACGACTAAGGATGCACGCGACAAAGGATGTCAGACTATCGGTGGATTCCCAGGGTGTTCCGAATGATATCATCCTTCAATATTGCCATAGCATCAAAATATTATGACCTGCTTGTTAAATGAATAAGGAATTGTTTAAGAATGGTGATTACCTAAAGATAAACAATAGGTGGGAGAAAGATTAAAAATTCCAATAACGTGCACATTATCGCCGCCCGTCATTTTTCTGATGGCTGGGAGGGACCCATCTTAACAGAAGATAAACTTGTCAAACCGAAAAACCAATTTTATCTAAAACAAACATATTATAAGACTTTCAAGAGGTATTTTGTCAGGGACAAAATATGCCCCTCGAAAATATGTTTTCAACAAAATAATTCAAGTGTTTATTTAAGAAATAACAAGTGATTTTTGGACAGTATAAAATTTAAGGGACGCTAGCTGCTGGAATGGTGAAACGTGATCGTTATCAGCCCTTCTCAGCTGTTCAAACTTTTAGTGATAAGACATTGTCAGTCCATTGATTATCTCGATATTCATATTAAAGTAATCGGTTGTTTATTTCCCGTAAATATTTCCTCTGCTGTGGATCGTTAATTGACTTCTAAACTAATTATAGATTAAATATTCGAACAATCCTGTACAACTTTCAATGTGATTCAAAGTTTCTTGAAGAAAGACTTTTTTTTATTATTTCATATTCCACGCCATTGGATTATAAGACATGGATTTATTTCTCACTGTTTTATTAACTTTTGCATTTTTATTGGTGACCGTAAATGGACACGGGAGACTTTTGGATCCGCCGTCACGATCAAGTATGTGGAGATTCGGATTAAGTCCAATTAAAAATTATAACGACAACCAACTGTCGTGTGGAGGATTTGCCGTAAGTGAAAAAAAAACATGCAGGTTACTTTAGAAAAAATATCCCATCGACTTTCTTAATTTTACTTCATTGTTGAAATAAATTTTGAATTATTTTAAAATAATACAGTCATTTGACTCGTTTTTAACCCAGCCATTTTAGAAATATGATAGAAATATGAAATATTGAAAATATCTCGTCAAGATATCTTGTTCCGTACGTAGCTAAGAACGAGTACCGCGATGCCAAGAGGTAATTGCCTCACCCACCCGAAAATAGCAAAAATCTATAGTGTATAAGAAATATTGAAATTCTCTGAATCATATGATTTTAAAAAAACTAGTCCATTTGATCTTCCGTAAAACGTTCTCTTAAAAATTCCGCAATTGCTGTCTTTATCTTTTTTCTCTTTGTAATGTACTCAATTTATAGACACTGATGTATTTTAAAATTCGTAAATAAAAATAACAACTTCAATGGGGAAAAAAAATCAGATATTTTTACACGTTAAGTGAAACCGACCGAAAAAGATGGAATATCCTTAAATATAAGAATGTTTTATGACGGTCACCCTTAATTTAAATTGACCGTTTTTGTCTGTTTGTTTTGTTTGCATATTTATATCGTTTGTTCCTTTTCTTAATATTTTTATATTTATGATTACCTGTCTTTTTTGTTGAATCGATACTTTTACAGTTATTGACGAGCTATAATTTATCTAAGAGACTTTTTTTTAATTCTCTGTTTGAATGTACCATTAAAAGCATGCGCTAGAATGAATACAAATTGAAGCGGAAACCTGTATTTTCCATTTTTGTTATTGCGCGAGTTATCGCCCTTGTTATCTTTAATTACTTTTTTATATTTACTGTAATTAATATTACGTAAAGGTTGAATTCAAATTAAAGTTATCAATTATAATCTTCGTATGTTTCTTTAGTTGGTTTGATAAAGATTTGTTAATTTTAAGCTTAATTAGTATTTTTATAAGTTTGTAAATAAATAATCATTATGTATAATACATGGTATTTTAGATACATAGGGTTTTTACTGGCAATAAACATTGTAGAAGTCAAATCTAATAAGTGTCTTATAATACATAAACGTGTGGGGATCTCCTTGCTTATGTTGTAGAATTAAGTTGTAAGAGTGCGGTCATCCCTGCATAATATTTGCCAGAGTATGTGGTCATCCCTGCTCTGGACTTTGCATCTCTTAGAAGCAAGTGTGCGGACTTCCCTGCTTGTTGCTGCCCAAGATCAGGTGTGCGGACTTCCCTGCCTGTATCTTATGATAGAGCATAGGTGTGCAGACACCCTACCCGTGTCTCTAGTCTAGAACCGTTTCATTAGTGACAGGTGTGCGGTCATCCCTGCTTGTCACTGCGCAAGGGCAGGTGTGCGGACATCCCTGCTTGTCCCTTGTGGAAGTGCGCTGGTGTGTGGACTTCTCTGCCAGTATTACTTGTACGCTACCAGTAAAAGCCAAATATACGCAGTATCCTGTGATTAAGACTGCGCATTGTACATATTTGCAGCATCTCAGGGCTATCCGTTTCTATCACGGGTATACGAGCCCGCGGGGGTTTACAGGTAGTGACCTCCCTTGCACGTTACAAAATTATGAAAAAAAGATATGATTAAAGATGTGATTCCTCTTAAACCATTCAGTATTCCGTTTTTTTCTTTTTCCTTAAAAAAAACCATTGCATGAAATTTAAATCTTATGAAAAGGCATACGCATGTACAACTTATAATGTTATCCAGTTAATTATCAAACGAGTAAACAAAACCTTTTCTTTAAATTTCAATTCTTCTTTAAAAAACAAAACGTTTTGCTACCATTACCCGTACTATTCATATAGTGAAAACAAGAAAACATTGATGTAACCATCAATTGTCGCCCGGGAAATAAATAAAGTAAACAATGGAAATGAGACTTGATCATCAAACCGCTTCGATATGTGTGAAAAAGGCATGCGTCTAAATGATGGAGACGATAGTCGAGAATATTTTGAAAACTTATAGTAGGATGAAAATCGAACAAAAACGATACCCTTTTAAACTTTATCAATTCCTCAAGTAAATGTTGGCTGCATAAAATATAATTTGAAACCAGACACATGCATCACCTATTTTCAAAAATGTCTTTCACTTTAAGAATATAAAACACGAACTGTGTAAAGTACATTTTTTCCGTTTTTATGCGATAAGTAAAATTCGATGTTCTAAAAAAAAGGGACCTGTCGTTTTTTCGATAGTAAATGATAAGCAACTTTATATATTAAATATGAAAAACATATATATTTTTACAGATTCACTTTATGGAAGTAAATATATTGTGTATCTCATAATTTATAAAGGGAAAGAACATTCTGATTAACAATCTTTTTAATGTTTAGAAAACCTTTAATTCTGAATAATTTCTCCCACCTCAATCACCATATACCAACACTTAAACTTATATGTATAGAGCAGCCCGGTCCTCCGGGCTGCAATGATAAAAACCTGAATGAATTAACAGATTTTCCAGATTACATTGCAAAAAATCAAAATTTCAAAAAATAAGAAAGAAAAAAAATTATTTTAATTCCATCGATGTTTTAGATAAGCGAATGCCTTAATTCAATAAAAAATAGCAAATTTTGTTTGTATTTTTTTTTTTTTTTTAGAGTACTATGATATAATACAAAAACATGTATTGTGATAAAGTGAAAGCTTGATAAATAAAAAGAATCATTCTTGAAAAAAAATCAAGACTTATAGAAGAAAGGCACTAGATTCTGTAAAAATCATCCTATCAAGCTTTGTTTTCCTGATTTTTTATGTAACATGTGGATAGATATATAAAACAATAAACAACAAAATTTTATTTTTACAGAATCAGTACCTTTACCAACACGGAAAATGTGGGGTATGTGGCGACCCCTATCAGGGACCACGCGAAAACGAGGCTGGCGGTAAATATGCGCGGGGATTTCTCTCGCGGCGTTACGTGGAGGGACAGATGATAGACATAGTTGTGGAGGTCACCGCTCTCCATTACGGCTGGTTCGAGTTCAGGATTTGTCCGAACAACGATATCAATCGGGCGGTCACCCAGGAGTGTTTAGATAAGCATCTGCTTGTGTTGTCAACAGGGTCAACCAGGTATATAGTAAAAGTAAAAAAAATATATATAGAAATGATAGATAAAGAAAACGAAAAGCAATACAGTCTAAAGCAAGCAAAACAGCCAGACGAAACAAAAAAAGAACGAAAGTTTGAAAACTTTTTAGAAAAAGAACATTTTTTCATTAAGGACCCTCTATGCATTGAGGAAAAATGTTTTCTGGACTTTGAGAAAATTATAAAGCGCAAAGGAGAATATTTTGAAATTAACTAATTCATTTTCAATTTAGGACGCGTGCTTTTTTAATTCAAAAAACATCTTCAAAAACAATAAAGTAATATGAAAGAAAAATCGCTTTCGCTTACTCAAATGTAGAAAATGCATGCAAATAAAGTTTTCAACTACTCTATCTTGGTCTAATTAAATGCTTAGAATATTTGAATTTATTTTAAATTATGTCATACAGTGCATATTACAATTTATTCTATTTTATGTCAAATGGTGGGTCATTATAACTACACAAGAGTACCCTGAAATTAGGGTGCAATGTAGAAAGTATCCTTAACAGTAAAGAGGGTCATAGACATGCATATTCAAGTGCATGTATGAAAATATACATGTTGATTGATTTTTTTATACAGTTTGTATACAAAATAATTTACGTGCACATGTCACTATAAATAAAAAAAATACTAACTTACTTATTTATAGATGGGTTAATTCTTAATACACAATGGGTTTGTTCATAAATATTTGATGGCATCTAGATGGATTAATTGATAAATACACAGTGGGTTTGCTCTTCATGTATGATGGCATCTAGATGGATTAATTGATAATACACAATGGGTTTGTTCATACATGTATGATGGCATCTAGATGGATTAATTGATAATACACACAATTTGTTTGCTGTGTGTGGCGCATCGTGGTGCAATCATTGTCAAAGAATGTTCTCTGTAACTTTTCTGGTCAATTTAACCATTTAATTAAAGGTATATAGTCCTTTATCATACATATTATACCTAAAGATGGCTGAAAGAAATAAAACAATTTCGTCTGTTTGCAATCCATATTTAATCAATAAAAAGTATTTCAATGATAATTACGTTAAAAAATATACCTATTACTACCCTTTTCCTTGAATTAAAGGTATACAGAAGTCACTTCTACTGGGAAATACCTGCTCCATGCACAACTTCCGGCCGGTATGACCTGCTCCCAATGTGTTGTCCAGTGGAAATGGCATACAGGTACATGCTTGAACTAAAAACACATTTCATAAAATTTGCGGATACCTGAGTTTGAGTGACAAAAATTCAAGCGTCTTGTTTTCAATTTTCTCATTATTTAGTGTGCTATAGTCCGTTTTGACAGAAAACAGTAAGGGAGTGTTTCGTTTCTAAATGAATTTCCAAGCAAAACTTAAGAAGTTCTTAAAATAGAAAAATTTGAACTCAAAATTGACGAATTAATAAATTAATTAATTAATTAAAATGCAGTTTAACAAGTAGTAACTTTTACTGGAACAAAAATAGTGTGTTCATGTAATAATGCGAATGAACAAAAACCTAGATTTTATGCGAATCTTTTTCAGCAGGTTTTATAATTTGTAGTCAGGTATGCGCCATGGGTATTTATTCAAAGTCTTCTTGATGATGAATATTCAATATGGTTTCCAGTATCATTGAATCTTATTTCTGTGTCGGACGAAATCAGTTCTAGATTTATTACTAAAATCTGTTTACCTTAAATCTGTGTTATACAGTATTCGTGCCTCACTGGTATTTAACCTACTTTGCCACAAAGTAATACCCTATAGTTGTTCATGTCACCCATGCAGTAATGCATAGGATATTAATACTTATTTCTTTTTAATTGATCACAATGAAAACACTTTTCCATTATAATTTGTAAGGAAACAATTTCGGATTAGCGCCAGACGGACATAGATGCATGGGGTGCGGGCCGCAGGAGGAGTTCTACGGATGCTCCGACGTCACAATTACTCCCAAAACTACACCTGTGTTTTATCCTAAATCTACGTCACCCCCTGACACTCCTTCACCTATCTACGTCACGCGTACAACGGAAATCTTTACTCGACCACCCCCACAGACATCAACTCCTCCTAAAAGTTCTGGAGGATTCCCAGTTAATATATTTCCAGGAGTCCCCCTCGTCAATCCGACCACGACAAGAAATCCTCTTAAGCCAGGAGCCCGTTGTTATGCAATTAATTTGTGGGCGGGCGATCCGGTTTTGAATGAGTGGTGTGCCACAAACTGTGCCAATGGAAATTGTCCGTCTTCTGCATGTGCATGTTCTTAATTTCAGTCGAAGACTTCACTTCAGAAGTCCTATGACTGCTTACAAAAAGATTTAAACATTCACACTTATCTCTATATATGTTTTTTGAAGCTGTTCAAAGCTTTCTTGTAAATACTGTGCCTTGATAAAAACTATATTACACTTGTTTCACCAATGTTTTACCACTCTAATTATACGTTTTGAACATTTCATGAAGCATTTGATCATACTGATTCGAACAATTTTTATTCTCATAATTGTATAATAAAATAATTATAAAAATCAAAAGGGTTTTGTCAAGGTTACGAGGTGATCACTGGGTGCTGACAATTGTGTTTTTTGTAGACTGCAAACCGGAAATTAGCAAATAGATTTTTACTCTACCCCCCCCCCCCCCGCCCCCCGGCTAAATGGATTATTTGTACTGTAGTAACACAATCCAATAGAAAGCAAGAATGAGTAGACGTTCCCACTACCCAAATTATTCTGCTAACTCATAAACCAATACATGTTTAAAGATATTTTTTTTATTTGTTGACCAATTCCATTGGTCACGACTTCACCCCAACCCCCAATCCGCCATAAAAAAAAATGAAAACTGCTCCATGGTCACTTTTTTCAAAAGCATTTTTAAACAGTTCAGTTTTAATTTTCTGCAATATTTTATCTGAAAGAAAAACAGAAATAAATGTTTGAAGAGCTAGGTAGACCCTTAGATTAATACAAGAAAAAGCAAGTTGTAATAAGTTTACATGTGAAGGAAATAATGTAATAAAATTAATTTAAAGATCAATGCATCTAAATTGATTTGCTAATATAGCTACCTATTGAAAACTAATGAAAAGTTTATAAGACTATAGTTATTTGTACACTTGAGTAGTTTTGAACTAAACTTAGTCAGCTTTGAGAGTCTCTGGAAGTTTGATTCTGAAAGCTGAAAATACCCTCTCATCGTTAAGTGAAATATCCACGGACGACTTACTTTCAATGAGGTTCAACCATTTTAAGGGCAATGTCCTAACGATACCCTTCTACGGAACAGTGGATCCTCCTCTTGAGTAAATAGCTTCCATTCTTGCAATGTTCTGTTCAAAGTTACACCAGTATGAGTTAATATAATCCAAAGTGATCACATCAAAAGTTTTCCTGCTGTGAATGGCATTTCGTGATATTATCTGCGATGTCAGTCCCCGGTATAAAATCTCTCTGATGAATACATAGCGGAAGTTCGATGTTTCCTTCCAAATAATCAAAATGTCTACGGACAAACTATTGATTCTCTTCTGCGTAGGATACAAAAGCATCGAAGTTGATTTAAACTGTTTACTTTTATTGTGAATCGTATTTTATCTCTTTTCTTACCCTTGGCAACGTAGTCCAAGTAGCGTATTTTCCATCTGTATCGATGACCGATTTTAATTATGCTGATTGTGACTTCAACAAAAAGCAAGGCTGACTTAATGACAATCAACAAAATGATTGTGATGAGGCACATTCTTCTTCCATTTCTCTAAAAAGCCTGGCAAAGTTACTGAAGGTCTTGAGTGTTGCATTTTGAAACAGACACGAGTAGCTATTCACGTTGAAGAATTGTATTCCTTAAGAATGCCAAATCCAAGAACCAAAATCTAAGTTATTGCAAGAGCATTGTAATGACAACTCAGTGTGTAAATAATGGCCTAACAATAAGTCTAAAAAACGTCAGCAAGCATATGACTAAATGATAGATTGTATTTGCTGATAAGGTCATTGTATCGACCATAGATGTTACGAAATGAACCTTAAACGAAACTGTTGATATTCTTGCTTCACCAACTTGTTTGTCAATATCTTACCCCGTTTTAGAAAATGTTCATATGTAGAATATGCTCTTGCGTATCGAATCCGTTGAGAGATATTTACCCCCATATGCAGGCGATTAGGGTATAATTCTGCATAAATAAGGGAAGTTGACAATTGAAAAGTTAAAGTCATCACGTTTATCATAAGGCTTTGTTTTAGATTACCATTAACGATTTTTTTCTAGTAAAATAACCAATTCTGAAACAGATATGTCGGACTCTATGGTAACTTTTATTTCAAGCTCACTGGGGTATATTGTGTTGACATACATATATAAAAAGAAATAACTATTGTTAATTGATAATACGTCGTCGATATATCTAAATGTCGAGTTAAAGACCAAAGCAATATTTTCTCTTTTCCTCATGAATAAGATTTTGAATAAATTCTGCTAAATATGAATACAAAACCAGGTCTGCTAGCAACGGGGCGCAATCGGTACGAATGGGATTCCAACAGATTGTTTGAAGACCTGGTCGCCAAAAACCACATAGATATTTTCAATCAGAAACTCAAGCATCTTTTTAATATCAACTTCAGAGTTCTTGTGTGTACAATCAGAATGTTTTTAACAAAATAATTTTGCAAATAACCAATGATAAGGTAAGTTAATTTACGAGTTCCATTTTTATTGAAAAAGCAGCTGTCAGTGATATCAAAAAGCCTAAGCTTAAATTCATAGTTGGTGATGTTTGTATACAGAGTTGAGAAGTTTTTATTTTATTGATTTTGGTCAAATTTTGTTATTTCAAATTTTCAAAAAGTTCCTTGGAATTTTAAGTATCCACATCTGACTTATACCACTTATCGAATATATTGTTGCATAGTACCCATAAAGGTTCTCCTTTACTGCTGTTAATATTTTAGTGAAGAGTAAAGAAAGAGGCTTGGTAAAACATTTACTGGAACCATCTGTGTATCTTTGTTTGTAAGAATTTTTCCTGTGTAAAACATATAGCGTTTCGTGCAAGCCGTTTTTTGTGAACAGTGAAGCTCCTGCATGAAGCCAGCTGGGGACGATGTTTTTGAGTGGAATGCTCAAAAGAAAAAAAAAAATTGTAATAATACTAATAGAAATTTGAAATTGTGATGAATATTTAATCTACTTTCTCTAATTCATTTATTTCATTTTTTTCTGTCTCTCTCTTTTGCTAGTGTGTAGACAGACAGTACATTGTGAAGTCACTTTCTTTTACAACTGGCTGAAGTCGGATGTACGGAATTTCCCCCCCCCCCCACCCCTGCTTTTTTACCATTCATTCTTGTGTTACAAGAAATAGGTGGAATAACAGTGGTTACTATATTGTTTTTGTTTCTAAATATCACTAAAAATATGATGGTATTTGTGAATTTTTTAGCTGGTTTAATTTTTATTTAACTGCCCTTAATTTCAGTTACTGCTTGAAGTAATTGTCTTATGTGAAGAAACTACCTAAGAGATTATAATAGATAATTGGTAATGTCAAATCGGACGTGAACAATGTATTGCATGATAGTCATTTCTGATACCTTTGGTCGCCATTGTTGGTATAAAAATTAGTAAGGTTTAATGAAAGTAGGATTCGAAGGAAAGTAGGTTACATGTGACTTCGGTTTTTCAGGTCTAATCTGAAAGAATATTCACTTTCTCTTAAACAGTCACTTCCTATGTTATAAATTTTAGGTTTGACTCGGCTCCGCAAATGTGAATCGAACCCAGGTTTCCCAATCACGAAACGACCGCCCTACCACTAGATTACCGTGATAGTCGATATCAAGTAACGCAAACATTGGATAGCAAATTCAATCAAAGCAAAAAACAATTTAAGAGTCTCGATCACCTGCACACATGAAACTATGGTAACTCTCATTTTATATACACGTATTAAAATTATAAATTTTTGATAGTGTAATAATTTCTTTGTCTAATCAATGAATAGATTTCTGTTAACTGTAAAGATACTCCTTTCCTGGAGTCAAATTTTCGTGGTTTTGGAACATAAATGATACTTCGTAATTTCACCTTGTTTTAGAAAAAATGCATACATATATATACAGGTGTAGTATACAAACATGGCATTCATTTAAACTATGATGACCAATAAGGCATTCCCATAAATTGCACGTCATTTTAAAATACTTAACGTTTGGAGCAACTTGCTGATGTCCTATGTGTAAGTGAACATTGGATTTATTTGTTTGCTAAATTTCATTCCAATTGCTCAAGATGTCAAAACAACTGACAATTGAAAACACAGGAATGTAACATTTGATTATATACATCTGTAAAAAAAAAAAAAAACGGAAAAAGAAATATGAGTATTTGATTGGATCCGCTCAGTATTGTGTAATATTCCTCATTCATTTAAATACTAAATAACAATACCCTACTGAGTTTTCCTGCGAACTGTGCGAAAATAAAAAGAAAAAAAACATAAAAACTAAACTTCCAAGTTAAGTGTTAATAGCCATTCTCTGTAAGCATTTAAACTCTTGTATAGGGAGTGTGGCACGCTAGGTCTTAGATTATTATGAAACTTGGCACACATTCCTATATTTATGTATGAAACTAAAATTCATAATAAAATGGTTGCTATGGTCAACGGTTACTATGGCAACCAACATACATTTTTCATGGCCTAAAAAATGCTAAATTTTAATGAAAAATGACCATTTTTGACTAATTAAAAGTCTTTAATACAACAAGATATTTACATGACTTTATCTTTTTCTCAAAATACATCGTTTTTATAGTTCTTTAGATAATTTCTAGTATTTGAGTAACTTAACCTCATAGAAAAAATATCCCCCCTTTTTAAGTATGATTTTTCTAATGAAAAATTATAGATTTTAGGCTCTTTTGTAAAGCCTGGTATAAATTTTTGCGGACATATTGGAAAAATAAATACATTGGTTTGAAAGTCCATATATAGTTGTAATATAAACCGCAAAGAACCACTTGGTATTCATATCTTGTTTTCATGTTACCATGGTTACAAACTAATGCTTTTTTAAAGAATTCCAGACAAGGGCAATAGGTATCTACTATCAGTTTCCATATAAATACTTGAGTATTCTAAAATGGATTAAAACCAAACTTGTACATGTAGTACACAATAGCAAAAACAAAGAAAAAAATTAATTTTCATAACAAAAGGTCAAAGGTCAAGGTCAAAATGGCTCGATTTAGATGGAAAAGTAAGGAAACTAAGCACATTTTTTCAATGCCATAACTAATACTTGTGTTTTAAACAACATAATTATGAATGAACAAAATTACAGTTCTGGTGGACAATACATTTAACTTGCATCACATGAATTGGTAAAAACGGACAGAAGGTCAAAGTTCAAGGACACAATGGTATATGAAATTTGCCTTTTTGTCCCCTGCTTTCACTTAAAGTGGGGGATATTTATTTAGGTCTGTCTGACCTCCATCCGTCTGTCAGTCTGTCTTTCTGCAACACTTTCGTTTCTGCGCGATGTCTCGTGAAGCCTTTGAGCCTTTGCAATGAAAGTTTATATCACAACTCCCTGTGGCCTAAGGAAGACCCCCATTGATTTTAAGGTCAAAGGTAAAGGTAATGAATTCATAAATTTTGTCTGTTTTAACACTTTATTTCCGCGCAATATCTCAAAAACTTCGAACTTTTGCAATAAAATTTTATACTGAAACTCCCTATGGCCTAAAGAAGACCACTATTGATTTCCAGTTCAAAAGGTCAAAGGTCAAGGTAAAAAAAATTATACATTCTGTTTTTGTGTAAAATTTTCATTTCCATGCGATATCTCAAGAAGCTTTTAAGCTTTTGCAATGAAATTTTATATCATAACTCCCTATTGTCCCGCCCGCAACTCTTAAAGAATTCCGTCCCCCCAACCCCACCATCCTCCGACCCCACCCCTCAAAATCCGTACATGCTCTTTTTTCCTTAAGTAGGGGACACAGATTCTCTGAATTAGCTTGTTAGTATAGCATTTATACTCGGACATTGTGAATGTCATATTCTGTTTTATATACAATTTAATGCATTTTACTGAAATTGGTATTACATTCTCACCTTTAGCTTGATGCATAATGTTAAAATGCTATGAGAATGGTTTCATTTATTGAAAAAAATTAGCCAACTCAAAATATTGAAAGCCTATACACGTACCATATTGAGTGACTTGTACGTAGAGAATTGTGCTACATGCATGTAAAAACACTCTTTTGTTGTTTTGGTAGACTAAGTCCTTGTTCTAAAATGTACAGTACATTTTTAGACCATATTCAACACTCCGCACTTTTCCAGTGACAGTCAGAATGTATTTTCCTGTGACTTTTCTTCAGAGAAGTATTGACAGAAAAAGCCTAAATCCATTTTACTTTGCAATACAGTAAAAATCTATCATGTATTATTCTTAAAAACTTGAAAATTAAGAGACATTGATGATAAATATTTTAACCCAAATATGCCTGGATTTACGTAATAGATCTGCTATTTCCAAAATTTAATCAATAATAATCTGTTGTAAAAATATGCTGGACCTGCTCGGATAATCTGATTTTGTGTTTTCTCGAATTTATGTCGGTTGCTAAGTTTGAGTTGGTTGGTAAGCTTGATAGAATCGTACACCTTATGGTTTGTATTGTAAACATAATTTCTAAACTTGAGTCCTTAAAAATATTGAAAATAATCTGTCCCTGCCTTCTTCCTACGGTTTTCATTTTTTAAAATGAACATGATAAAGTAACCAATGACCAGGACTTACTCCATCCCTTCCTGGAACCATGTTAAAGTACTTACCCCACATAAATTGGTAAGAATCATTTGTAAGAAGAACACGGATCCCTTGTGAAACATCAAGAAGCGTTATATATAAATATGAAAGAAAGCGGTTCATTCATAAGTGATTAACCCCAACCTGCCCCCATTCCCGAGTATAGATTTTTTGTGTTTAATTTTATGATTTTTTTTCTTTTGGTAGAAGGGGGGGGGGGCTTGTCAGAAATTTATTTATGTTTTCATTATTAATAAAATACAGCTACACAGATTTACTATTAATTTTACTGCTACAAGGTCCAGTCTACATTTTTCTTAGTCTAGAGAAATAATAAACTTGATATAAACGATAACTTTAAATATGATTCAGACAATTTGTATTTCTATGCAAACACCCCCCCCCCCCCAAAAAAAAAAAAAACAAATTGAAAGTATAATTTTCACTGGCCGAAAGGAATCAATTACAAAACAAAACATTTTCATTACTGACCTTCACAATTTTTTTTTTTTTGGGGGGGGGGGGGGGATAAAGATCATTCCCTTAAAGAAAATTCTTGGATCAGGAACATTATTAATTTCTTTGTAAATATTTTCAAACTCATTGAATAAAAGTTCAAATCTGAAATATACACAGATAACTTTTCTCTCTCTTTTTCTGAATCAGATACAGATAAAGGCAAACAGTAGTTTCAAAAAGATTGAGTTTTCTGTTACATCAGTGTTTGAAATCTGTGGATTTTTTTTCTACATGTAGCCTTTAAATAGAGATAAAATATACTTTTACATTCTTTAATTTTAGGATGAGGGTGTAAAGAGTATCAGTTTATATTTTAAATGTAGCAAATCCTATCAAGTGAAAACACTCATCATATAAAAATTGTAAATTATGAATGACATAAATTCTGTTTAAAACTGCATAATATGACTGCGTTGACTATGGGTTAAGGGACGACCATTTGATTCAGAAAGGGGGGGGGGGGCAATTTTTTTCCGAGTCAGATTATTTATTTTCATGGAATTGAAGGACATATTATTTATTTCCAATTTGATCCAGGACAGATTGTGTATTTTTGCTTCACTGCAAAAAGTCTGAAAATAAAATAAACAATCCATCCCGCCCCAAGGGAAAACGCCCCAACTTTATTTCGGGGGGGGGGGGAATTGTTTCGGGAATAATTTTTTTAACCCATAGTATAATAATAATATTATTATACTATGGGTTAAAAAATTATTACCGAAACAAGTGCCTCTGGGTAGGATTGGAGGTTGTAGCACTTATCAAAGATGGATTATTTATTTTCCTGCCAGTTGAGGACAGATTATTTATTTTCAACATTTTCAAGAACGGACTTTTGTTTCTAAAATCTGTAACCCCCCCCCCCTTCGCATCAAATGTTCATCCCTTTAATAATAGACATCAACCTACATACATCATTCAATATAAACTTCAGCTTCCAGTTCTGTACAAACATGTAAATATAGCTTGACATTATTTATTTATATAAAATCAATAGCCTAGTTCTCTCACATTATAATTCATTTTTTTCCACATTTGTTTTAAAAAGGCATTGACTTTCCAAGGCTGTATTCCTTATAATATATCACTCTGATTGAGACATTGTACCTCTTCTTACAACCAATTCAATATAATTCTGATATCTCAAGTTTATCTTTTATCCCCATTTTAAAACTAAGACCTTGAGGCTTAGGCTTCAATATCATGAATGTGCACAGAGCTGATTTCCTGTACCATGTGGTCTTTTACATTTCGCCACTGTTCACACATCAAAATTATTCTTTTGCATGCAGGAAATAAACAACGAGGTTAAAATTTGTATGCGCATTAAATAAACAGAAAAAAAAACACTTGATTTTACTTGAAATCCAGGATACATGTTGTAATGTAAACAACTTCCAGTCAGTTTTGTCCAATGATTTTTTTATCTCTCGCACTAAAGAGCTCACAATTATCAAAGGGAGATAATTCAATTTTGAAATGAATGTCTGCTATTTTAATCATAGATTTTCTTATATTTATAGACTGAATACCAACAATGTTCTTAAATGCCTTTAAAAATCAGATGTCATACTTTTTATTTCTGTGAGGAACATGGATTGAAGTAGCCGCATTTCATTGATTGACATTCCCAAAAATTGCATTTTTTTCAGAAAAAATCAACTTTAGACACCGTTTCCATGGTAACTACTCAACATTCATATGATCTAACAATATTTTTTGGAGTAGTTTATGAGGTGGTAAATTCTAGCCAAATTTGAAAAAAATCTGTGACTATGCGTGCCACAAAAGTTTAAGTGGTTACAGAGAATGGCTATTAAGTTACAATTGCGTGATGATCTAAGTCTTTCTATCCATATGCATCGTTGCAAACCACGGCCAAAATGTACTATCCTCTCCCATTCTGGCCGTGGAGGAATGAGAAGAGAATATTTCGCAGTTCAGTAAAATATTGACCAATGCGAGTAAAGCATAGTCGGATAATGAACTTTTCATGACCTTTCAATATCCAATCGCAGTATACGAAACATTTCTTGTATACTGTTGATGGAAGTTGTTGATTTCAATTGCGATGGAAACAAATATTTTCATTGGCTGAACATGACGTCAGTCACAACATAGAGTTGTAAATATTCAAGATTACGACACTTTTTGTGATCAAGCAGCCACGGGTAGGATAGAGATATATGCGAACTCCGGACCGTGGCTTGACAAGATGATCCATACGAGGACTATTCCTTTCACAAAGTGTAAATTTCGACTGATTGCGATATTTTATTTGAAATACCAAAATCAAATAGTCAAAGGGTCAAACACAGCAAGATCCCCATACTGATAAATTCAAAGTTTTCTTGAAAGTTCTTGAGGAAGCTATAAAATACATTAATTAAAATTGAAATCATACACGTAATTTACAGATTTAGTTGGTTTTTTTTTTTTGTTCAACACAGTGAAAATATATATGAAGATTGAAATATGTACACTTTATTTTGAACCAATTAAGCTAAATCAGCTTTGAGAGTTTGTGCTAGTTTGATTCTGAAAGCTGATAATTCTTTCTCATCGTCAGGCGAAATTTCCATGTACGACTTGCTTTCAATCAGGTCCAACCATTTTAAAGGCAGTGTCTTTACGATCCCCCTCTGCAGAACGATAAAGAATAAAACATCGGATCCTTCGGATCCTTCTCTGGAGTAAATAGCTTCCATCCGTGCCATATTCAGTTCGAAATTACACCAGTATGACTTAATATAATCTGAAGTGAGCACACAAACTGTTCTTTTACTGTTATGGATTGCATTCGTTATGTTGTCCGCGATGTCAGTCCCAGGAATAAAATCCCTTTGATGAATACACAGTCGAAGTTTGCAGTTTTCTTCCAAGTAGTTAACAAGTCCACGAACAAACATATTGTCCTCCTCTGCGTAGGAAACAAAAGCATCGAAGTGATATTTAATCTGTCTCCTTTTATTGTAAGAAGTTATTTTGTTTCCTTTGTTGCCCTTGGCAACATAATACAAGTAGCGTATTTTCCACCTGTATCGATGAACAATTTTACTGATGATAACTGTGACTGCAACTAAAAGCACGGCTGATGAGATGGCAATCACCATTGTAAAAGAGGCGCATTCTTTCTCCATTTCTATTAAAAGCCATGTAAAGTTATTAAATGTCTTTAGTGTCGAGTTTTGAAACAAACACGTATAGTTATTAACATTTAGGAATTCCATATTTTTGGAATGCCCAATCCAGGAAAGAAATTCTAAATTTTTGCAAGAGCATTGTAATGGATTTCCAAGTAAATTTAGGGTTATTTTCTTTGTTTCTGACATTTTGTTCAAGGCCGTTCGAGTTTCCTCATTTATGCTTGACAGCTGATTTGCCGATAAGTCTATCCAGACAAGCTTATGTAGATGGGATATAGTTACATTGAAAAAATCAAGGGAATTTAAAGTAAGGTTCAAATATGTCACCTCAGATAAGCCTTGAAATATGTTATAGGGAAGAGCAACGATCTTATTGTTTGATAAGTCTAGGACCTGTACATCTTTCTGATTTCGGAAAATATTTCCATTTGTATCCATTTTAAGTGTCTGTCCGAGAATATTGTTTGAGAGATTCATGATACGAAGATGAAGAAAGTCAATGAAGAAGTTGGGAGATATTTTGCTGCAAAAATTATTTGAAAAATCCAAGTATTGAACACTTTTCATTCCATATATAGGTCCTTCCAATTCATAAATTATGTTGTTCTGAACATATAAATGAGTTAGTTTACCTGTTGTATTGAATATGAATTTTGAGAATGCAAACTTGTACAAATTGTCATGAAAGTAGATTGTTCGAATGTTTGGTGGAAAATATGTGGTAATATTTACTTTTCTTTGTACATACGTACTTTTCATGGGACCTGAGGCATCATCTAAAGTTTTATGTCCAATGCTACTGTTTGTTGTATGCAATAAAGGAGTGAAAGCATAGAAATCTTCTTGAATGATAAGCTTCCTTTGGTCCTTACACCTAAAATTAAAATCGACAGGTTTAACTGAATGAAAGTTGGATTGATAACTTACATTCAGTACTTCAACATTCGAAAGCTGGTTCAAATTCAAAAGGTAGCCCCCAAAACTCAGAATATTATCAGCAGCATTGAAGAAACGAAGTGTCTTTGGTAGATACGAAAACATTCCGAACTCAAAATGATTGATTCTATTTGAGGCAACGTTCAGTTCTTCCAATGAAGTGTTGATAAGATGCTCTACCTGTCTGATATAGACAGCGGTACTTAAACCATACGTACATTGCACTTTTTCCAAGTTCAGGACCTTTATCTTTGTGAATTGCAGATCATAGGAAATATTTTCCAAAACAGACAAGGAGAGTTCTTCATTATGCGACAAATCTAAATGACAAAGTTTATGTGTCTGTGTCAATGTACCTGGCTCAATTTCATTGAGTTTGTTGTAAGATATGGTAAGATTTTCCAGGTTCCTAAGTTTTGGTAGTGACTGTTTGGTCATTTTTTCAATATGATTATTTGCCAAGTTAAGATATTTTATTCCTTCCTTAAGGTTGCTAGGAAAAGTCTTGAAAATATTTGACGAGAAATCAACGCTGACCACATCCTTATTAAATTTAGGTGCGATGGATAAACTTTTATTAGAACAGTTAGCATGAATGTAGCCATTTATTTTATAGCACATACACACGGAAGTCGATGTGCAGTTCTCTATGGAGACAGTCTCACTTTGGATGAAAATTGTTGAGAATACGAGGAACAGGAAGTTTTTCACGGCCATTTTCTGTAAAACGAAAAGGATTTTTTTAAAATTTAAATTGCAAATTCACATTTTACATGCTTGCAATCATCATTCAATAGTTGAGAATAATAACGTTTAATTAAGATATATAATTTTATAGATGAATGACATGTATTCTAGTTTGTTGTTTATTTATAATATCATTTGATAAATGTATTTTATCAGATGCCTATCATATACATTTATAAGTCATTTAGGTCAGACAAATGTCCTTAAAACGAAAACATGGAGTGTTTCAAGGAAGATATATGTCACCTGCACATACAATATTAAAAACAAAAATAAGAGTTTTGATTTTTTTTATTTACAATAGTAATATTATTGTACAAGGATGTAATACAAATGCTTATAATGAGAGGACTGTCTCGAAATTTGCAAGTTATAAGTTAAATTAACAATTGTAGGCCATTCTTCGAAAATGGATCAAAGATTTAAGTCAAATGAACAAAGACTGTCTTTTTCGTTTTGGGTCCTGTGGTCAGTAATCCTACTATCTACAAAAGGTATTGTGCAAGCAATAAATTAAAAAAAATATCAGCTTGCATTTTGGTGATGCATTCATTCATTGTCATTTTTGACATATTTTATTTTGTTAAATCGAATCTGCAAAAATGACATTAAAATTTAAGCATTTTGCAAATTTAATTCGACATTAAAAATATGTCAGAAAGGACACTACGAAAAGAGACAATATAGGAATTTTACCATGTAATACTGTGATAAAAAAAAAACCCACATTTTTCTTAGTTAAGTTGGATGGAGGAAGATTAAGTTCTGTTCCTCTTTTACCGATGAATGCCTTTTATAATCTTGGTACGTTCCTATACTGTGATCGTACATAATGAATTTACGGATGAATTATATAAACAACTTAATATTTATAAGTTAGTGATGGTTTTGAAAATAAAGGATGATTCTCTATAAGGCCATTTTCCGGCCTACGATAAAATCACTTAAAAATGTGATTTTATGTAACTTTAATCATTGTATTTCATGATTTTGATGTTTGTTTTTCAACATCGATCTCCTAAGTTGCGTGATTTAAAGATCACAAACGGCCGTCAAGTAAAGAAAAATTGAGGGTAGGTCTATTTACATCAAGTTTCTATGCATGTTTCTAGATGTAAATGATCAAAAATTGTTTATTTATGTCGGAAACATATCAGACTTAAGTAATAAGTGCAAAGATTGTTTAATTTAAGGCTAAACATATTTTTTTATGGCAAGAATTTTGATGCATTCACATTTTGCATATTTTGAATGTAAATCTTTACAAAATGCACCTCGTATGATGTTGAAAAATGTTTAATTAGCATTTAATTAAAAGTATTATGTCATATATGTTTATATTGTAATTGTGTATTGTTTCTATAGATGTGGTACTTATTTTACGCATAAAATGCCCATGCAAGAAATGAGATTTCTATGTTTCTATTGAACTATAAAAGTTGTGTATCAAATGTTTAAAGCATTGAATGAATTTTGTTTGTGATTAAATCAAAATTAAGTTGTAATTTATAAAATATAGTCTACATTTGCAAAAAAAAAAAAAAAAGAATTCATTAATTTACAGGATGAAAATATTAATGCAAGTACCTGTTAATAGTCAGTACATAAAACTCAGAACGGTTGTATTAAAATATATATATCGACGTAAAATGAAATAACATCGTAAGAGTTGCTTTGATTCAATTTAATTACGCATGTAAAACAATATATTTAATTTAAAATGCTATCTAAAACTATAATACACAAATGTATGTATAAAGTCGAGTCCCCCCCCCCCCCCACGGCACTCCATAAAATGGAGTAGATTTTCAACAGTTCCTTCCACTACGCATATCAGAAGTTTTAGTATATCCATGGACTAACAGAGTTCTACAACATCCCAGGTACAAAATGGACCGTAAGAGATGACACTCCTTTTGCACTCTTGAAACCTGAGGATTAAATTCTCTTTCCATGCTGCGTCAAGAACTAAGGTGTTTAACACGGGTAGTGACAGTGCCTTTACTAAGTCCTCAGCATTGAAAGTAAAAGTCATGGGTCTTTTGGATATTATCTTAAAGAAGGAGGTCCTGTCCCACGGTAGGTGTTGGTCAATACTGAAACCATGCATAAATCAAAATTGTAACACTTCACCTTAAGTGGATGATCTCTTTATCTGGGTGAAAAATTCTAAAATGACGTAAAGCAACATTCAATTATCAATCACGTGACATCTAGGAACCCCTTTCGTCCTTGGCGTTTTATTTTCTAAGACAGAACTACTGTTCTCATAACTTATATAGATGCTACCAAAGAAGTGTGATGAATAGACTGAGTCCTCTCAACACCCAGTTAACAAAATACATGGAAACTATGTCACTCATACGGAAAAGTGTCATTCTAAAAGGTCGAGGCGAGAATTTCCATTATGAAACCATCCCATCAGTAATTCTTTATCTATAAAAGTTACATGTGTACCCATAGAAAAATTAAGTTTATAACACACATAGCAAATGCATCTACCCGCTACAACAAAAATAGCTTTTATCATTTCTAGAACTAATAACAAATATGCAGTACTCCTAAGGAAATACAAATACAAAGAAGTAGCATAGATATACTAAACTATCCTTATAAATAATAATAATTATAATAAGTAACTTATATTCATGCCTTATAGTCTATAAAAAATTTCTTTATTTCTAGCAGATAGTTCAATGAGACTTGTCTTCACGTAATTTCATAACAACCAGTCATTTCAGTCCTTTGATTTTAGATTTTTTAAGTAAAAAGTTTACCTTTTTTGAGTAAACATGCATGGCTTATATTAATTCTTAGTAAATCAATAGAAACATGTACTCTAAGTGAAAGTTTATAATAAGAAATAATCTACATAAGCTGATATCCTTCATTGTGAGTAGTTAGCTTTTCCTGCAAATATCGTAAAAATGAAGCGAAAAGTTTTTATTTACATGTCATAACCACCTTTAACCAAGTTGATAATTTAGTAGTCACTTTTTACGTTTATAAGAAGTTTACATGCAAATTTTGGTGTTGGTTAAAGGTGGTTATGACATGTGTAGGAGATACCTAACACACCAACCCTCTTGAGTTTTCCCATTACCCTAATGCTAATACGGACCGATAGTACCTTACTTTGTGACCCTATATCATAACAAATACTTTTGTATCATTAACCAATCAACATTTATCATTAAATTGGAATATTAGCCTACTGACTCATGCAGTTTTTAAGGGAAAAAATACTATTTGAAAATTTGAAGTCATTGTAGGCCGCAAAACGGCCTTATAGAGAATGATCCTTTACATAT